ACTAGAATAAATAATATCGAAATGAAAGGGTAAAACTTTATGGAATCAAGATGAGCTTCAGGGACATAGAAACAGAAAAACTAGAAAGGCAGTCTGGATTTGACCTAAGGCAAGGTTGTCTTAATAGAAATCTCTAAATTTGGGGATGGACTTGTTTTATTTGATGTAGCATGAGTTTGATGGCTTTCAGAACACATGAAAATCTCTGTTTACTCAACCTTTTGCCAGAGGAGAGTTGTAAAGCAAGGGCCTGGAAGCATAAACTGACATCTAAGAGGACCTGTTGCCACTTGAACAATGCTGCTCTGTTTGTTCTTTTCCCATCTACTAAGTATAAGTGATTCAGCAATGGGGTTTACAGAGATCTAAACAAACAAAACCCCCAAACACAAGATTCTTTTTTAGATCTTAAACTTTATGTAAGAAATATTCAAGGGTATTTTCCACTATAAAACAGTTGTGATATTTTCAAGCTAGTTTAACCTACTATATTGTTGTTGTTGCTGACTGCCTTTGAGTCAAGCGTGACTCATAGAGACCCTATGAACAAAAGACCTGAAGCCCCTCTACAACTATCAATATTTACCAAAGTTCAAAGAGTTTCCAGAGGCATGTTGTTTAGGAAGTAGATGCCACTCCTGCTTCCAACCTACTATATTAAGTACTTCTTATTTGACAAGAGAAATCATAACAAATGCTCAAGAAACGGTGTCTTTGATCAAGATACTGTAACTCCATAACTTCATAATAGTCAAATACACATTACACAGATTTTATCAATGGATATGAAAGACACTTTTAGCTGTAAATAATGAAGAAATGATAAGCTACATGGACATATTAGTCATTAGCAACAACTTTGTCTTTTCTATGTTACTGCCTTAGAACTCAGTTTCTTGGATTTGAGCATTTAAATTTATTACTGTCAAAATTACGATAAACTTACTAATTTCAAAGTGGCTTCTGCTATTGTATAATTGGGTTTTTAAAAAAAAATGTAAAACAAAAACCCCTCAAATGTTTACCACAAAGAATGATGACACTATTAATTTCAGTTTAGGGGGCTATATCTAAAAGCATGAATATCACAGCTGGCTTGTTAAAGTGCCCTCGACAGCTATAAAATCCAGACAGGTATGGACAAGTAAATAAGGCAGTTACTATTTGTACAGAACTTGGAGTTTATTGGTCAAAAAAGAGAAAATAAATTTATATAGTAAAAACTATTGCTTTGGAAATGTCTGAATGATCTCTATTACTTCATACAATATAGAACAAGGGAGCTTCACTTACAGATCTTCTTTGATGTAACAGCAAATGAGGGGGGGAAAGAAAGAAAAAGTCAATCTCCAAACATTTCACTATGACTTAAAACTTTTTAATAGCAAGACAAAACAAAACAAAATCCTACCCATTGCATTGACTTGACAACAATTAATAGTTATCATAGAGTTTCCAAGGGAGCTCTGGTGACCTAGTGGGTAAGAAGTGGAGCTCTCAACCCAAAAGCAAGCGGTTCAAATCCACCAGCTGCTCTGTGGGACAAAAGCAGGCAATCTCCTCCCATCTGATTTATAGCCTCTGACAAACCAGCTGCAGGGTCAGTCATGACTTAATTCCAACTCCACAGTATATAATAATAAAAACTGGGGTTTTAAAGCTGTAAATCTTTATGGGAGAAAACTGTCTGACAATATTAATTTATACTAAGATTTTCATCTCTCAACCATTCCTAAGGATTTTTAAAACGTTTCAACTTCGGCAAAACTATTTATTCAGATAGTCCTTGTGTGATCACTACTTGACTTACAGAGAAGTGATACCGGCTTTTTTACATTGTGTGAATTAACCGTTCACTTTGAAATGGATGAATCAACCCCCTACTTGCAACATATTAATCATAATCAACTTTCATTTTTGTATTTGCAACTTTGAAATCTTTGAGTAGACTTCAAGAGTTTTCTTACACTATTGGCTAAATAAAAGCAGTCTGTATCTGTTCTAAATGACCTATTAATTTGACTTACAGATACATTTAGGAAAGGATCATGTTCCTAATTTTCAGACCACATGTACAGAATTAATCTTCCATAAGCAATTTTCCATCTCTTTTACATTTACCAAAGAACTCCTGGAGGGACAGTAGGTTTTACCTGGGGTGCTAAGCAAAAATTATCAGCATTATTTCTATTATGTTGCCATTTGTGTTTGTGATGCAAAAAACATTGACTAAAATGGCTTCATTGTTAGTTTGAATCAAGGTAGAAGTCAAGCAATATATCACATAATAGTTACAGTTAAGTAAAACATAATGTCTGTTTCACCTAAGAATGTATGTACTTGATGAAGAAATAAAGATTTATTTTATTTTTAAAAACACCATCTGTTTGACGCCAGCAGCCATTCCATCGGAGTAGACAGAGCAATCTGCTTCTATAAAGATTTACAACCTTTGAATTCTTATGGGGCAGTTCTTCACTATCCTATACAGTCCCTGAAATTCAGAACAGAATCAACAACAATGGTATTTGTTTTCTCACCAGAAGTACTTTGTTTATTAGATTTGATAGCTTCACCCATTTGTTCCATACTTTTCTTTGAACTTACAGGCTCACTGATAAGACTTTTTTATTTTTATTTTTATTTTTTTATGGCGGTCTGGCTTCCAAGAATGTTACCAGAAAGCTTTTGGTTTATTCAAAATTACACAAATTCAAAATTGCTGTTGGTAGGTGCCATCAAATCGGTTATTGCTCATAGCAATGCTATGAACAACAGACCTGAACCCTGTCCTATCCTGTGTCATCCTCATCATCTCTGACACACTTGAGGGCACTGCTGCACTCACTGTGCCAGTTCATCTCTTTGGGGATCTTCCTCTCACTCACTGACCTCCAAGTTTCCAGGCATGCTGTGCCTTTCCAAAGAACAGCCTCATTTAGAAACATATCTAATGTAAGAGTTATGAAGCTTCTTCATCTTTGCCTCCAAGGTGCACTCTGGCTGTACTTTTCTCAAGACACATCTGTTTGTTCTTTTGCCAGGCCATGAGCTATTCAGTGCTCTTCTCCAACACCATAAATGAAAGGTGTCAATTCTGCTGCTGTCATTCTTATAATAGTAATTTCTTGATGGTATCAATAACATATACATTGAGATTAAATGATACTAAAAGCATCTGAAAAGATGTAATGTTAAGTCAATGTATTATATTAAAATGATTTTAAAGTGCTTCTTAAATATTTTATAACCTCATAAATTATACTAATTCCTTAAAATAAATACATGTGCTCCAAAATAGCAAATTTAGATAGAGAGAGAGAGAGAGAGAGAGAGAGAGAGAAAGAGGGAGAGAGAGAGAGAGAGAGAGAGAGAGTCAAGCAGTTCCCAAAACCAACTGCACATGAAGAGGCTCTGACTAACCTACTAGTTTGCTAGTCGTCACTGAAATGGGGGAGGAAATTACTTGCTAAACCACAGTCCCCTCTAAGTTACGAGATGAATAATATAGTGACAACCACTGCCCCCAATACATGGAACATGGGGGAAATCTTACCTTACATGGAGAAGACCTTAAGCAAGCTTTGAAACCACTTCGCCACGCCATTTTACTATATAATGACAAGGATGAAAACTACTGCAACAACCTCATCATCTCTTGCCTCACACTCACTTCAAAGCTTCTCAGTTCTACTGTGTTATTAGAGTCTTTGTTAAGACTAAAAAATTTACAATGTTCAGGCCCCTTGCTCAAGACAACTGTTCTGAGGTGGGCCTGGGCCACTACGGTGTCTGGAAAGTTCTCCAAGTGATCCTAACGTCCAGGGTTGTGAATCAATGATTTTCTATCAAAGCTGATGCCCTGGTTGCTCTGCTCTCTTGTGATGTTCTCTATCAAAGCTGCCAGAGTTACCCTTTCTATAATGCCTACAGAATTAAGTTCAGATTTCTGAGCATTGTATAAAAACTCAACACCATGTACTCTTATGTACCCAAACAGCTCTCTTTCCCCATTTCTCTCCTCAGTCACTGTGCAAAGCTCTGGTTTACCGTATATCATGACCTCAGCCTCTGGGACTGAACACTTACTCATCTCTTTCTCTGAAATGTCCTTCACTGTTTATCTGTCTAGAGACCTGTACTTCCTCCTTCAGCCTTTCTTGACACACTTTTCCCTGACTATATTCCTTTGTAGTTGTCAAAGCACCTATATGCACTATTACTATTCTTTGAAATATAACACTGAACTCTAGTAGTAAGAATTCTGCGCTGCAATCCCAAAGACAGGTGACTCAAATGCCCAGGCTGTTCTGTGGGAGAAGAGTGGATAATATCCTCCTGTGGTACATACTGCTTCTGAAACCCGCTCGAGGGTCAGCTGTGAGTCGATTCTGACACAACAGCAAACAACGACTTTAGAAGCTATGTCTCACTTTCCGTAGACTTTCTTTAAGGCAGGAATAAGGCCACACCTAAGCTTAGCCCACGACCTAGCATATCCTGGCCTTGCCCATCTTTCTCCTGTGAAGCAGCTGGTGGCCTCGAACTGCGTATCTTCAGGACTGTAGTGCAGCTTCTTGCCACTAGACCACTAGTGCTCCCTGTAATATTTTACACTATTTCACTAATTAAGATAGAATCACAGGTAATTTACATTAGGATGACTGAAAAAGAATTAAGCTAACACTAAAAAAAAGGAAGCTTTAGTGTTTATTTGGTACTTAATAACTACAATTACTATTACTCTAAAGCCTAGACTTTCAACTGGGCTATTGAATGAACTTTTAATAAGTCAAAGAGAAAGCCTTAGTTAAATCCTTAAGGGCACTCTCTTATCATCAGCCTCCCCAAACCATACTTACTGATAATCCCAGCTGACACGTACTCACCTGAGGCTCTGGTAAAGGAATGGAGCCCCTTTAATGCCCACCATAAGTAGGCCAAATTTGGCTGCTCCCATCCTGTGACATCTAACCCACAACTCTGGTGAACATGCTTACTTTGTATTTGCTTTCTGATCTGGAAGGGGTGGGGATATGTCCTTTTCTCTTGACGGTTGTAAAGTGCTTGCACTGAGGGCATGGCTTGGTGCTGGAATCTATGCGGCCGAGTTCCGAGAAGTACTTATATTTGATGGAGTCTTCATGTGTCAAGTTATAGACAACAGTTGTTTCTTCTAGGAATTCAAAACACTCTGTGATAGGGCATTTGATTTCCACCTGGCCAAGCTGTACCTGCATGAAAGAGAGTGAGACAAGGAAAAAAAAAAATCAGTGCTTCTACTACACACTTGTTGTGTATTTCTATTTTATTCACCTACATTTATGACTTCAAGAGTATTCAAAGAATATTATATAGTCATTTTCCATTATTCCTAAGATGTATTGAATGGTCATAATTTTAGTACCATAACAATTAATCACTATTATAGCATTTAAACCCTTCCTGACCTGCTGGTAACTTAAATGGTCCCATGACACAACCTCACCAGAGAAGGAAATTACCCTCCCATTCTTCTGCAATCTCTGAGACAGCATTATAACAACCTGCCAACGTTAGAACCAAAAAGAGTTTCAGATTTTTAAATCTTCTTACAGAGTATCTCAGCACAGACACCTTTCAATAGGCCAAAAGTGACTTTTGTAAGCTACATATGTATTCAATAGCATGGTTTTTCCTGACTTTCTAAGTCAAGAACATACAGGGGAAAAAATTTTTAAAACTTCCAAGCAATAAACTCAAACACATTGTTGCCACATCAGAATGGATTCACAGCTCCATTGGATTTTCCATGCTGTAAATCACATGGGAGGAGTCTGTCAGTCTGTCTATCCTCAGAGGAGCCACTGGCAGATTTAATCACCGGAGAGACACAGCCTTAGGGTTAACAGCACATCTCCTTAGGGTCTAGGTCAAGAGGCTCTCACCAGAATCACAGGAACATAGGAGAAAGTTAAATCAATCAATCACCATTGTGTTTAAAACCCCTCTCATGGAGTCTCATTATTACCGAGGTAATGTATAAAATGCATTTCTTCAAGGATCCCGGATAGCTGCATTTTGCACTTCGCATGGGATTCTAGATAGGACTAGCTTTCTAGATGATGGTGAAAATCACAATTTATGGTAACAACTGAATTTTAAAAGATGAATAAAGTAAACAAATTTGAAATAAGGAGTATCAATAATATTTTCCATAACTAGCTCGCAATAGTATTTATACTGATTACATAAAATATTTTTGTTGATCCTCATGTAACAAAGAGAGGCACTGAAACCACAAATGGCAGAAAAAAAGACAAATTACTTCTTCCTCATTTGAGTGAGTCTAATGCTCTGAGAAGACAAAGCACTTCCACTTTAATGACAAAATAATGCCGTTTGTCTGAAGTAAAAGCCATTGTAGTCTGGTCAGTTCTGACTCACAATGAGGGACCCTCCAGGGCAGAGCAGAACTGCCTGTGGGGTGTCCGGAGGATATATATCTTCATAGGAGCAGATTGCCTTATCTTTCTCCATTAGAGAAGGATTTGATTTGAACTACCAACCTTTTGGTTAACAGGCCAAGGCTTAATCGGGAGGGCCATAAAGTAGGAATGAGAAACAGTACTAAGGTAGGAATGAGGAAAAGGGGCTCAGGGAGAGAGGAAAAAAAAAAATCAAACCAAAACCCAAAATCCCACCACCATGAAGAACAGTGATGCTGTTGGGTGAAGCTCAGTCAAGTATGACTCATGGTGACCTATTAACAACCGATCTGAGCCCTGTCCTATCCTGTGGTGTTCTCATTACCTCTGACACATTAGAGTTCATTGCTGCAGTCACTGTGTCAATCCATCTCATTGCAAGCCTTAGGGACTCTTCTACTAACTTTGCTGTTTATCAGGCACAAACTTGGAAAAGACAGACAGTTAAAAAGATGCAGGCTGACAGACATCCAGGAATGAGGAGTTTACGTCAGAGAAGGCATGAGCAAAGCTGGTGGTTAATCAGAGACTGACTTTGCAAATAAAGCAGACTTTGCATAAGTATCAACCTGTGCAAACTACTACATGATTCTTTGCTACTAACGTATGGAATGTCGACCAGAGGCTTTAAAAATAGTACTCTACTCTTTTTTCTTTCTGCTACAGATTTTTTTTTACTTTACCATTGTTATAGTATTACAGTGTTTTATTGTAATGTAAATTTTATGTTTGTAACCGGTATCATAATTCAAATTATATTTTCATAATAAGACAATACTATTTTATAATATATTACTTTAAGTGACAGACCAAGGCAGAAGTCATCAGAAGATTTTTAGATGGTTATTATAAAAAACCATAACCACATGTAGCTTAATAAGGAACTGACATTGTGAAGTGTAGAATCAAAACATATAAAAATGAATACCCTGTCTTCTTTGCTCTTCACGTTCTGTGCCTGTCCCTCAAGCCTGACTCAGCCAGGTACTGAGTGGGGCACTGGCACTCCCCTGGTGCCTGTGAGTAAAGAGGCAGTCATGACACGGGGCAAGCACTTCTGAGAGAGCAGGACCAGGAGGTCAACAGAGAATATATGTGCGGAGACTCAGCAACCTCAGATTTGGGAAGTTCAGAGGATTTTTGAAGAAGTGCATTTTCAACTGAGATCGGAACATTAGCAACTCTTGGTCAACAAGGCTGAAAAGAGTCCAAGCAGAGAGACTTATGTAACTTCTGTAAAATCTCTGAGAGAGTCCTAGGAAAAAAAGATACCCATATTTTCCCCATATCTCAAATGGATTAATTTAACTAAGCCCTGAAAGCACATGTAACCTAACTGAAAGATCTTAAGAGGGACAAAGGGCTGAGCAGTAAGGCTGGGCCACGAGTAGACAAAGAGAAGCTGTGTTGGAGTCACTGCCATCTTTGCAGTCCGACCTCTTTCCCAAAGAGAGAAAAAAAAAGAAAAATGCTGTTTTCAGTATGTGAGTGACAATTTACTTTCCTTCCACATAAAGAAGGTTACTTGGGATACCTGAAGTGGCTCTTGTTTGTTGAGGAACATTGCATACTAGTGATTAAGAGCCTGAACTTTTGACTCTCAGGTCTTGTTTGGATCTAGCAGTCCACACCTAGGAGTTGATTCAACTACATAAAGATAATAATGGAGGGAGCAATCTCACAGCCACCTGCAACATCCAGGTCCTAGGAAGAATGGAATGTCGTTTGGGGATGAGAACAATCCCAGGCAGGTCAAAGGGACAGGTTATCTTGGTATTCCCTTAACAATGGGTGTTCCCTACGCCACCACATTGGGATTCTGCCCAAATGGAACTAAGCATCCTACTTCAGCATTTCCCACTTGTGCCTGCAAATCTCATCTCCTTCAACAGAACACATAATTTCCCCTTGTAGTCATACTTTAGTCACTGTTCCATATATTCTTTCCAAAAGCTTCAACAGCCTCTCACTACATTCTGGGTCAGAAAATATCCTCATATTTTCCTGGGAATAAACAGAAGCAATGCCTTGCATACTCCTCATGTTCTCACTCCCCACTCTACCAATCTCTGTCTGATTGTTCCACTTTGTTTTCCTTTGTTATACCGTCTAGGACAACTGTCAGAAAGTCTCTTGAAATATCTGTTGAGAATTCAAGTTTTCTGGCCACCCAAATGTAGAGAATTTGGCCTGATCACGGGTTTTGTTTTAGAAATGAAACCAGTGGGAAAACATGGGGGACAAGTCAAAAGAGGACTAGATTTTCCCCTCAAATAATCCAATAATGAAATATTGTTTATATGGATACATTGCTGCTGTTGTGACCAACAGATGACCCTCCGGTGGGTTTTCAGAGGCAGTTAATCACATGGGAAGAGACTGTCCATTCTTCTCCCACAGAGCAGCTGGTGGCCTCGAACTGTGTGACTTTGAGCTTGCAGCACAGCTTCTTACACTAGGCCACTAGAGCTCCTATATTGGATACATATTAGCTGAAAATTATTTATCTGCTACTAGGTTTTCAAAAAACAAGAAAAGAGAACAGCTATTTATTGAAATGAAACAAAAAAGGAATAGATAAGTGTGTTCACATAATATACGAGATTTTGAAGGTAATACAAAATTCTGACTATAAATATTGATTTTTGCCTTCAAAGAACTAAAAAACACTGCACGAAACTAATCTTGATGTTTCTTCTATCAATTTAGGATTTGATGGTGGCCTAGTGTTAAGAAGCTGCAATGTAATCCCAAAGGCCTGTGGTTCGAATCTACCTATTGCTCCGCTCTGCTCTGCAGGAGGAGGACAGGCAATCTCGTCCCATGTGATATACTGCCTCTGAAAACCCACAATCATCTGTGAGTTGGTTCTGACTTGACGGCACACAACAATTTAATATTTACTAAAAAATGTTAAATTTTTTATTAATAACAATTTTAAACACATTCAAAAGTTAGTCAATTGATATTATGAACCTTTAAGTATTAACTCTCTGACTTCAACAATTAATCACCTCATGACCAATCTGTTTCTTTTCTGCATGGATGCATATCACCTTCTCATATTATTTTTAAGCAGATGGCAGTCATCACTTACTTTCATCCATATACAGTTCCATATATTGTTGTTATGTGCCATTGAGTCGCTTGCAACTCATAGCAACCCTATGTACAACAGCTCTAAACTCTGCTCTGTCCTGTGCCAATCTCATTGCCACCGACACACTCATCCCGATTGCCCCAGTCACTGAATCAATCCATCTTTCAGAGGGCCTTCCCCTCCTGCGCCTGCCCTCCACCCTCCCAAGCATGATGTCCCTCTCCAAGGACTGGTTTCTCCTTAAAACATGACCAAAGTATGTCAGATGAAGCCTCAGAATCCTTGCCTCCAAGGAGCAGTCCAGTTTAACCCTCTCCAGGATAAATCTGTTTGTTCTCTTAGCAGTTCATGACACCTTCAGCACGCTTCTTCAACACCAAAGCTCAAAAGCATCAATTCTCCTATCCTCCTTGGTCATTGTCCAGCTCTCTGATGCATAACAAGTGATTGCAAAGACCATGGCCTGTACCAGATGCACCTTTGTCTCCAGAGACACACCGCTGCTCTTGAGTACTTTAGAGATATCCCTAACAGCAGACTTTCCCATGGCAATGCGTATTTTATTTCCTGGCTGCTGGTGCTAACAGTATTGATTGTGGAGCCAAGCAAACTAAAGCTGTGAACAATCTCAATCTCTTCACCAACCATCCTGATGCTGCCAATTGGT